GCCGTCGCGCGCCCGCGGCCCCGGCCTCTCCCTGGATCGCGCTCTCCCCGCTCCCTCCCTCGCGCGCCCCCTCTCCCGTTACTCGGCCCCCCCACCGGCGCGCGTGCGCAGTCGGCCTCCCATCGGGAGAGTGCGCCACAAGGGCTCCTGCGCGCTCACCCCCATCTCCCGGCTCTTCCTCCCCCTTCTCGCCCGTTCCATGACTTTCTGCCCCCGCTGTGAGCGGTCCAGTCTGCCAGCACCTTCCCCCGGGTATCGGGAGCCAGTCGGTGGTGGTGATTGTCCTTCTGCCTATGGGAGCAGACGCTGAAAGGAGCAGACGTCGTGTGCCTGGGTCCCACAGCTCATCCTATAGAGCTGGTTCTGCTCCCATCAGGACCTGAGGGCTGGGGACCGTGCGTCCGGCACCTGAGACTCCGAGCCGAGAGCGTGCCCCGTAGTGCGCCGAGGTTCTTGGGGTGCCGTGCCTTTGGAATCCGAGCGCCCTCCCATCCTCCCCCCCCCCCCCGCCGGTGATCTTCCAGTTACATAAGTGGAGTGGGACATAGTATGTGACAGGCTTTCATCGTCCTGGAGCGCTGAGGATCACCGGGACCAGAAGGGGCGAACTCACCGCATCGCTGTGACTTCTATCAATTAGCTCTAAAAGTTTATTCTCTTTTTACTTCGGTTATGACTGAATCACCCAAACTAAAACTCAGGTGACTTCTACGGAGCCGTGGCAGTGTTCCTGTGGCTTTGCCCTAAAGACTTAAGGTCACTGTCAAGAGTCTGAAAAGGTTGCTCTCACCGAGGAGACCCTTCTGGGCCTTGCTGAATGCGGACGCCCCCCCCCCCGGGGGCGGGGAGGGGGCAGCTTGCTGGGAATACTTCTGTGCGGTGGCTTCTGTTGTGAGCTCGCTTGGTTGTGGGTTGGTCACGGCAGAAATGCGCCCTATCACAAAATTGATATTCCTGACTCATGGTCAGGCAGATGTGTGCTTTTGGTTATTTTTCCAGGAACACAAATGAGCTTTGCCGAGCTGTTTGCACGTTGTACTCCTGATGTTCGAGATCCTTGTCCCAGAGTCTGACGTGATAAGATCAAATTCAGGGGGTGGTTGGTGACCGTGGCACCAAATGTCCTGGTACATAATGCTAAGTGGCTAAGATGTTGTCAGACTCACAAGTTTTCAGTGTTTTGTTATACCATAAAAATAAAGCACACTCAGGCTTGGGTAGTAAAGTCACACTAATAAGCAATTACTACTCTAGAGGAGCATTTTGAGTGTTGTGGCTGGAATTTTCATCTGGATCTCAACAGTTTCATTTAGTAGCAAGATTAAACTGACCTCTTGGATCTTTCAAAATATGCTGGGTCCTTATAAAAGGACAGGTCTGGGTTTTTTGGGTCTTCTGAGAATTTCCACTAGGCATTTAGGGAAATGGGCTTAGTTATGGGCTTTTCAGAATTTCTACTTCAAATCCCAGTAAGGAAGCCTAGGAAAGTCTTTTATTTTCTTACCTGGTTACATCAGAACCTTAAAGAGCACAATCAACTTGGCGGGAGAACAGTTGATTAGAATAAAGTAAGTTGTCATAGATCACTTGATGGCAGGTCAACTGGGTGGTTGTCATTGGGAGGCACTCATGTGCACGTATGCGCATGTCACCGGATGGGGTTCCTGAATTTGCACATCTAAGCTAGATGCGGACGAGTGGGAGTGGGATGAGTGGCAGTCTCTGCTTTGTTTCAGACGTGCCCCTCCAGGTACCCTTGAATCAGTGCGGACAGCTTCCAGAGTACAAGTTCTTCTCACAGCGCCTGTGGCTGACCTCAGTGGCATCTCAAGCCAGCGTGTCCCCGCAGCTGGAAGAAACCATGTATGGTTTTCTTGCTGGTACTGGCCTGTCACCCTGTCCTATTTCCTGTTACTAAAATTTTGCCCTGAGTGCTTTACATGTAGAATACAAGGTCTTTGTTTCACCTGGTAAGAAAGCTCCATGCAGTCATCTGTACTTGGCTCATGTTTTCCGTGAACCCTGAGAGAGGTCCAGGGAGGGCATAGACCCCAGCGTAGACCCCAGCGGATGTGGAGGACTCTGATACAACTTTGCATTGTGTTTATATGTTTATAGCTTCTAGCCAGACCTATTTCCCCTGCCTCCCTGCCCCTGTGGGACTTAATCTAAGGGGACAGGGGCAGGCTGTGGAGTTTGAAAGAAAACCTGGCTCCATGCGTCCAATAAGAGTTGCGCTCACCGGAAAACGCCTTCTCCCATGCGGAGATTGCCTAGGAGCACGTTTCTTGAACTTACAATAAAGAACAGCAGAGGCAAACTTGTTCGCCAGAATTCTGCTACTAGGGCTATTTACATAAAAAGTGATATGCTCTGGAACGCACAGTCTTTCATAAAGGTGACTATCAGTGGGAATCTCTTAATTGGACAAGAGCAGTGTGTCCCTAGGCCTCTGAGTTCTCTGGGGAGAAAATGTTTGGTGCCGTAGTAGTACACAAGGGTAAAGAGCAGTTCTGGCCTGGCACATTCCAAAACGTGTGCAGGAACACCTGCTTGTTTTTCCAGCCTTCTGCCCCCAGTGTCACCCGTGTGGGCCAGGCAGTCTTCATGCCGTGGAGCAAAAGGACCCATCCTCAGCTTCGACACAGGCCCTTCTGGCCACACTGCAGCCAGCCAGCCTCGGAGGCCCTGTGTCAGTGACGCCCTCCTCCTCAGGCCTGCTCAGGCGGAGCTGTGCTCTCTGCTCAAGATCTTGACTCACATGTCACTGCTTGGCTGCCTGGCCCCGCCACTCTGATGTGGGTGTAGTGTGGGGGGGACTGAGTGCAAGCGGGTGGGGGGCGGACAGCAGCCCTACTCCCATCCCAAGGGCAGGTGTGAGTGCTCTGGTAGAGAATAAGGCCTCTGCCTTTTTTCACTCGAGCCACATGCACACTGCTGGGTCTGCTGGCCTGTGGATGTGTGCTCGCCGTCGTGTGCAGCTGTGCTGCAGCTGCTGCAGCTGTCTGACAGGGCCAAGCCTCGGGAAGGGGATGCTTGTCTCCTTGCCTAAGAACTGGGGGTGCTAAATAGATTTGGGCTTCTGCCTAATTGTACTCATTCTCTGACTCCCCCCACCCCCATGAAATTCTGAGTTAATTAAGAATCTCAAACTTTCAGAGCTGAAAGGAACCTTAGTCCATCTCCCTCAGTTTACAAGTAAAGCAATTAGTGGCCTTGAGAAAATGTTACTTTTTCAGGGCCTCCTAGCCAGGCTACTGGTGAGATTTTTACTCTACTGTGTAGATAACCAAGAAATACCGTTAACGGCTGGGATTGTGAAGCATTCTACGGTTTGGTTCTTTGTTTAAGGGGATTAGGAGAATTATGAGGCTTCACTGAACCTCAAAAGATAATTCTAGGTACCATCCAGGCAGCTGTTGCCTAGCCATAAAGGAAACAGCTGGGTCTGCCCTTCCTGGATTAAATCACATGTGTCATTGCCAGTAGTTCCTGAGGTATATACTCTACACTTTTGTTTTTAGTCTAAAGCTAAAAGTGCTGCTGTTGGCCCAGCAAGTTATCAGAGATTAACTAATATAAAACAGTTTATGTTTTAACAAGGAAATAATAGCTATCTTCATGACAAAAATCCTTTTGAACGTGTGTTAAAAAACAAAAGAGAAATGATCAAACTAATAACTCAGTTCGTTGGTTGTGGAGATTTGCTGCTCTGCGAAGCTTAGCCGTGACTGCTCTGAAATAGCTGTGTGTGTGTATTTTGGAGGATGGTATTGAATCTCCCTGGGCACCTGGTTTCCCTGGGTGCTTTGTTTCTCGAAGGATTAAAGCCCCCTATGTGATATTGCAGCAGCCCTTTGTAACTTCAGCTGCTGGCTGAAGAAGGGAGCCTTTGCCGCTGGATTGTGCGTGTTTTCTTTCGGGGATGGTATTTTGATGTTGTGTGTTATGTTGAATGCATATTCTTTCCCTGAGTGTTTCTGTATGACGTGGTGGAAGAAATGGTACTTGCCAGAAATCACCACTCATGGTATGCTGTGTAGTATCAGAGTGTCCCCCAGAGGTGACAAGACCTGTGATAGTGTCCATTCAAACCAGTGTCTTTATTTTAGCACTGTATATTATTTGCCAATAATTTGCAGTTTATTCTTTGTTTCTAGCCAGGTGAGCTGGGAAATAACAGTGCTTTGTCTATGTGTTGTTTATCTTCAGAATGTCCCGAATAGCCCTGGGAAAAAGGTCATGCAGCTCAATGGGGGCTTTCAACTTACAATTTTCTTTGTTTTAGGCTCCATAAAAATACAGACTCACCAGTTCCTGCTTTGATGTGACATGTGACTCCCCAGAATACACCTTGCTTCTGTAGACCAGCTCCAACAGGATTCCATGGTAGCTGGGATGTTAGGGCTCAGGTAAGTAACCTTCCTTTTTTTTTTTTTTAGTATATGTCCTGGTTTGGCAATCTGTTTTTAAAAAAAAAAAAGAAAAGAAAAAATTCTACTCTTGGACAGTATAAAAGTACCCCAAAGGCTAAAGACAACTGTGCCAAACTGTGCCATATAATAAAAAAAAGTCACTTCCCTGAGCCCTGAAAGGTCTGTTTGGGGAGAGTTACTTGATAGCTACAGCTTGAT